CGGCTCAATTGAGTCCAAGAATGGCTCCGCAAATGTCACCCCAACTGTCGCCGCAAATGGCGAACCAAATGACACAACAACTGAGTCCACAGATGGGCAGACAATACAGGTCTCAGGAGTTCCAGAGTCCTCACCGGGGCTTTCAATCTAATGAGTCGGACGCTTATCATCAAGAATTCAGTGGACAACCGGTGACCGAATCGATACCTCATTTCGGTCATCAGATTCCTCACTTGGATATGCATTCCATTCCTCAGAGTCAACCGCCAATACCTACTGTTGTCACACATATGCACAGACCGCCCGTCATCGAGGGTTATGTGCCCGACATTCAGGTTACGCAGACTCAGAATATACCACAGAATATACCGCAGGGTTTACCACAGGGTTTAGCCGCGGATCTGAATGTATACAAAGAGTCGGAATCATTTATCCCAAGCCATCCGTCAGTGATTGCGACCCAACACTTAGTTCAGGCGCCAACAGATATGATCGACTTCGATGACGTGGCTCTTGGAGTGGATCCTCACCATGAAGTACCATATAGTCAGCCATTGGGTGCCTTTGATGCCCATCAGAACCAAAGTCAGTACCAAATGACTGATACTTCAACTGCATATCAACGCGATGTAAGCGATGGGCAAACTTATAGTCAACAGACCATCAATGCCTCGAATCCGATGCAAGAGATGGATAACGAGGACACGAACGACGATACAAATGAGGCGACGAATGAAGACTCCACTGATCTCGAGACCAATGATGGGACGAACCAAAGCTTTTCAAACGATGAGATCATCACCGAAAACGTCAAACCCATTGAAACTAATTTTTCTGTCCAACAAATTATGGGCCAAACAACTGATGGACAAGAATTGATCTCAAATGCAAACAATACATCCGTATTAATAAATGCCAATCAATTGCCTCAACAAACGAATCAATNTCTGTCCAACAAATTATGGGCCAAACAACTGATGGACAAGAATTGATCTCAAATGCAAACAATACATCCGTATTAATAAATGCCAATCAATTGCCTCAACAAACGAATCAATTCGAGGAGAGTTCTGGAGATTCTGTCGAAACTGATGTCGATTCGGCTAAAGACGAGAATCAAATCGCGGAAAACACGGAATCGATTGACAATATAAAGTCAGATGTGATGGAAGCGGTAGAAGAGCCCAAAGAAGAGCTCAAAGAAGTGGACTCGTATATTGAAACTGAACCACAAGTTTCACAAACAAATGTCGAAGTATTTGAACATAAAGTGGAGGCAAACGTTTCTGAAAAGCTATCCACACAAACCACGCGTTTTGTTGAATCTCCAGTTATGTCACATATAGTGGATTCCGTTCCCGAAGTAACCGTTGCTAAGTCTGAATCAAGAGATTTATATGTGAAATCAGATAAGTCACCTGTTATTAAGACAACTACCATAACGGCAGTGAAAGTGGAGACAGCGATGAACGAACCGATTCGACAAAACGGTGACATTAGTGGCAAAAAAATGTCTAAAAATCAAAAGAAAAAACAGAGAAAGAAATTACAATCAATGAGAAGACGATTAGTCGAAGAGAAGCAAAAGCAAAACAATGCGACCGAAAGTGACGATAAAATGGATATCGAGGACGAAGAGGAAGAAGAAGTGGAGATCGAATATATTCCGGAACAGATGGAACAGATAGCGAGGGACAGGGATTATCTGCATTTCCTCAAAGTGTTTGATAAATTCCGAACGGGAGAGTCGGACAAAAGCATTGGTTCACAAGAGGCTGATGTCATGGATCCGGTCAAGAAGATGATGGAACGCAAGAAACCGGTGGAACTCGAACTCAAAGACGACGACGAGAAGAGAGACGGAGAGCACAAGGTTTCCAAACGAAAGCAAAAACAAATGACTCGAATGACAGTTTCCGAACTCAAACAACGAGTCAGTCATCCGGAACTCGTGGAGATGCATGACGTGACCGCCAGAGACCCGCTTCTACTCCTCCATCTCAAGGTATGGCACATTTGTGGCAATTATTTGAATGCAATATATCTAACACTATTTATGGTTGATTTGCTAATATAGTCGACTCGCAACTCAGTGCCAGTTCCGCGCCATTGGTGTTATAAACGCAAGTATTTGCAGGGAAAGAGAGGGTTCGAAAAGCCGCCGTTCAAACTGCCGGAGTTTATCCGTAAGACAGGCATAATGGAGATGAGACAGGCCTTGCAGGAGAAGGAGGAGTCCAAGTCATTGAAGGCGCAGATGAGAGAGAAGATTCGCCCAAAGATGGGAAAGATAGACATCGATTACCAGAAACTTCACGACGCGTTCTTCAAGTGGCAAACGAAGCCCAAAATGACAATTCATGGCGACCTCTACTACGAGGGCAAAGAGTTTGAGACCCGACTTAAGGAGAAGAAACCGGGAGAACTGAGCAACGAGTTGAGGACCTCATTGGGAATGCCCACCGGACCCAACGCTCACAAGTGTCCGCCTCCGTGGCTCATAGCTATGCAACGGTACGGACCGCCGCCTTCCTATCCCAACATTAAGATCCCGGGTCTGAACGCTCCCATACCTGACGGCTGTTCGTTCGGCTATCACGCGGGCGGTTGGGGTAAACCTCCAGTCGATGAATACGGGCGACCACTCTATGGCGATGTGTTTGGTGTGACCACTGCTGGCGATCAGAATCTCATCGAAGAGGAAGTCGACCGAACCCTTTGGGGCGAAATGGAAGAGGAGTCAGAAGAAGAAGAGGAGGAAGAATCTGAAGAGGAGGAGACCGAAGAGACTGCCGGCGCTCCTAAACCCGCCTCCAAAGAAGTGGACGAAACAGGTTTCGCGACACCGGCTGAAGGATTAATAACTCCCAGCGGTTTGGCATCGGTTCCAACGGGAACTGAAACACCGGATATGATTGAATTGAGGAAACGAAAGCAGATTGAGGCCGAAATGGAAAGGTATGTCATCTATCATTAGCCTATATTTAGGATCATTTAAAGCGTGTACTAATTGGTTATTCTCTATGCGTCCAACAGTAGTGACAATCCATCGCTCTATACAGTGATTCCCGAGAAGAAGGGCGATAAGATTGGCCGCGAAATGATGGGTTCGGCGCATACGTACGATATGACCGCCTCTACGCTCCGCAAAGGGCAAGGAGTGGATGTGGCTATCGATCCGAGCGATCTCGAGGCCGGAGTTATGGACTCGGCGTCGATGGCCGCCAAATATGAGCAGACGATGAAAGAGCGGACATCGCATTTGGACAAAGAGGACTTGTCTGATATGGTGGCCGAACACGCGGCCCGACATAAACGCAAGAAACCCCAGGACTCGAGTAAATCTAACAAAAAATATCAGTTCAAGTTTTAAGACACACCGACTGTCCGACAATATAATAGCGGAACACTTTTCACTCGATTATGAATTCAGTTGTTTTCATAAAATTTGTATAATTTATTAGATTTTTCTCTAAATGTTTTTGAAATTAATTGTAATCTTTTTCATACGAATTGATTGTAATTTATTTTTCAACAAAACTACCACTAATTCACTGTCTTTTCGACTAATTATTCTTCGACACTTGTATTGAGTGAATGAAACTTTTTTTATTGTTTGAAAACACTTTTAAATAATGAATAATAAATGTTATGAAATAATGTTAAGAATTGTTTTATAAAAATATGGAAATCAATTGTAAATCATTTGATTCCCAGAATATTTCGAAATAAAACTAATTTTGAGTTTTTCCGCAAAAGCAAAACAAAACGTTTATTTATTGAGCAATTGTTTCGTCAAAAACATGTTTAACAAAGAAAACTATCAAAAAATAAAGTCCTATTCGAAGGCTATCTCAGCTTTTTTCGCGATTCTATCCGATGTCTGGGCGACGAAGACCTGGAGGAAGACGAGGACTTCCACGCCATGTCATAGCAAAGACCTCCCAAATAGTAAAACATAATCTTCGCCACAAACGAACTCACAATAAAGAGTCCCCTCTGCGGCCAACTCATGAGTGTTAGCACCGGATATACCCACTGACCAGTGTTTAGGCCTATAAACAAAAGCCACAAACCGTAACAGACGGACACCAGTGAGAGAGCGACCACTTGTTTGGTCTCATTTTGGCGGCGGTTATGACACACGAGAAAGTTTTCCACCAAAACGATGGGCAACACAAAGGTATGTGTGGTGTGGTTGAGCCAAATGGGGTAATACTTCTCGATGCCGACCGGGAATATGAGTTGTCGGTCGACAGCGTATATACACCAGAAGGTTGTGGAGACAAAGGCGGCGATGGGAAGCGCCACACCGTTGAACAGTAGGTCCCGGACGGCCACAACTGTCGGCCGTTTCGTTTGATTGCGATTGTTGTTAGGATTGGCGATGAAGTCGGCGATGAGAGCTGTGGTGAAAGTGATGAATTGGATCCAAAGGTTCCAATACGTCAAGAACTTGAAGCGACCGCCAAATGGATGCTCTGTGGGAACCGATTCGTGAAGAAACTGCCAAAACAGTGAATACCCGTATATAATGAACGCCAATAAATGCAATACAACTGATAGTGGATATGATTTGACACTCATTTTCCTCGTTTGACACACTTTTGCTTCGGCTCTTCAGTCAATACTCGTTGACCGCATCAATGCTTACAATATGGCAACAAAAGTGGGAACCAAGTGGTGATCCAAAGATGGGATGTGCTGTCGCTGGGGATGAGGCAGTGGTTCAACACATTTCAGTGCAAAGCGTATCACAAAAAAGTTGCGATAGAGTTGTGGTTAAGACTTAAGTAGTGGTGAATTGAGTGCTAAATACAGTGTTATTAGTGTTAGTGATAAGAGTATTGAGTATTGAATGCAAAGTTCAGTATTCAATACAATTGGAGTCAAAGTGGGTTCCAATGCATTGACTGCGAGAATGCAGTCGTGTTTAGCGTTAGTGTTGTTCGCGATCTGAGAGTCGACTCAACCCTTGAGTCCAATGTTGTGATGAAATGTCAATACGTTTTCAACAATCGCTGATATCATTGTTTTTTCACTCAAAAACACATCTCTTGCAGTCATTTATGTCTCATTTGATGACCATTTCATCCAAACAGACGTCGATTACAATCACTATCACTGAAACACATCACTAATACATTGACCGCAAGAATGGCAGCGCTTCTTAAGAACCAGATATTGAAACACCTCTCGAAGTAAGCGTCGATTGAAAGCAATTGCTTATCAAATATTCATTACATGTAATCTCTCTCTTAATTATGACACCATTTGATGGCATCACTCGTTAGGTTCACGAAGAACTTATCGCCCGATAAACTGAACATAAGTGCAATCAAAGGGTGTTGTGATGTCCACAACATTGAGCTGAACGAAGAGGTGCTGATGGATCTGTTGGAACTGCCCGTCTGGATGTCGTTGACCCGTGCCTTCTGTAATCACGTGTCACTGAAGGTCCAGTGGATGAAACTGAAGACTGTTCCCATATATCTGGCTTTGGATGAAGTGGTGGTTGAGATCGAGACCTGCGAAGACTTCAGGCGAGGCTCTAAAACCAATGCTAATAAGAGTCCGCAAAATAAGTGAGTTCTTCAGCTCTTGTTCCCAATTAGTGTTTTCTTATGCGGTCTTATTGTAGCAGTGATTCCGGTAAATATGGTTTTGCCGACCGAGTGGTCGATGGTATGACTCTTACCATCAATTCGGTTGTAATTACCTTTCGGTCCAAAGTTTTCAACGCATCCCTACAAGTGATTATTATTACTATTAAATGTTGACATTTGTTTGTATTAATTGTTTGTTTCAACGGATCAGTTGTCGCGACTAATGATCGAAAGTCGAAGTCCTAATTGGAAACGGAATGTAGACCTGAGGTTAACCCGCATTAAAGACCCAAATAGAGGCCAAATACTGATATTCAAACACTTGGAGTGGCAGACACTGCGCTTCGAGGCGAAGGCCGAGTCCACTATAATGCAGACACCGCTTCGGCTCATCACAAACCAGGCCTCGTGTCGGATCACTATTAAGAAAAAGCTGAGCGACTGTTCAGCACTCGGCGCTAGAATTATGTTTATATTTGACGACCTGTTATGGGTCTTAACCGACGCCCAACTCTTGTCTGCTCTGCATTTCGCTGACTATTTGACTCAATTGATCCGAAGAGCGCCGCGAACTAAGCATTTCAATGATATCACTCCTCTGTCGCCCACATTCTCCTCACTCAAGAACCTGAGCGCCAGTTCCGCTCAAACGGCACAGTCAGCCGTCAGTCGACTCTTTAGCCAATACGACATCATTGAGACCTCTCATCACCTGTTCATTAGTCGCATTGAAGTGCATTTATGCGATGATTTGGACCCAAATAATGGCCGCTCTCTTCACCCTAGCCTTAAAGACGGCGGCGCTCTTCAGATAACTATCTCTAAACTAGTGATCGATGTCTATCCATATCAAAAAGTGATATCAAACCGCAATCATTGGCTCAGATATTCAGACCCTTCTTCGAGTCGCAGTCATTGGATTAATGAACACTTGCAGTCATTTCTTGAGAAGAGGTCCAAAACGATGTCATCGCCGTCGGGAACAGTTCGGCCACAATCGCGGTCTGCTTTAAGTCAACTCATGTCTAGAGTAATGCTCATTCGTTTGGGTGATTATTCTGTGAGTTGTGTCACAACTAATACGACCACTAAATTAAAGCTCAACGAGAAACTGGTGGCAACTGATAAGTCGGCGCCACTTCCCGACGATATGATGGCTTTCTATATGGAAATTAATAATTATTATTACGTGGACTCTAACGATGCGGTCCCGGAATCGACAGCATTCGTACACTTGGCTCCACTTAAAGTCAATTTTGATTCACTCACACTCTTATGGCTGAACGCGTTTCAGTCTAATCTTCACAACGCAATGGTTAGACTCCAAGAAATGCTTCCCAAAGAGGAGAAACAACGACTCAATACGAGAATCGAGTGTTTAATGCCTTTGGTTTCAATTAAATGTCCCGATAGTTACGAATTCAGTTCTTTTGAGATTAAGAGCGCAAGAATTGTGGCCACAAATTGTGAGACAGAGAGTGCGAGCTTTGATGAACTCAATAAACTAATGGAAAGTATGGGCGACACGGGATTCATGTACGACAGGCAGTCATTTCCGTGGCTCCAAACGGATCCCAAACCCATTTCGGATCACTTTTTGACGAATTTAGCAAAATTGAAGACCAAAGACAATTCGCAAGACATTTGGACGCTTCGGATGGAGCCCTTGTGGGCAGAGTTCAGGAATAGGAGGACTAATAAGTTTGTGTCACTTTTAGATCCGCTTCCCATTACTCTGTGGGCATTCGAGTCGCCGACAATTGGCGACAAATTGAGTGATAATTTAGAGCCAAATCTAAGTCTTTTATTATGCATATCATCGGCAGTGAAGGTACAGATAAATCACAGCCAATACATGTTTTTGATGCGCTTTTTGGAACAATTGGGCGAATTTGGGGTTCAGATGAATTCGGACACAATCACAATACAGGCCAACGGCAACGCTTCCGATGAGAACCTATTTAAGAGCATATCATTGATTTCATCCATTCCTCACATCGAACTCACTCTCAAACTTAATGAAGAATTTCAAACCTCTAGAAGTATTGGAATATCACCGCAACAGTCAGTATTGGATTTAAGGTCGCCTTCAGTTTTGGATAAACTATCGGTTGATTCCGAGATTCAGAGGACAGTCGACAACAATTCAATTCATAAATTGATTGACTCTTCATTTGTGTCTAAATCGCAGAGCGATTCCCTTCTTAGCGGCAGTTCTGTTAACTTTGATCACAACAACCGATTCGCACAAAGTGTGGACAACAATAGGTTACACAAGGACTTGAAGGACAGCCCACCGATGGCCACATCGCTGAACGCCATTCCCGCTCACCTTAAGCTACAAAACGCATCACTCGTTACGTTCAAGAAGTCTCCTGTAAATAGCGATGCCTTGAGTTTAAGTAACTCTACATTCACTGAATCGGGTCTTACGGACTGTTCGCCTATCGATGACGACAACCGATCCATTAGAAGTGATTTGTCCGCAGAGAGCGATCAGTTCGTTGTCGTCGGCTTCGAGACCATGACTCGAGAAGAAGAAGAGGACATCTTTAGTACAAACCGTATCGAAGCGGCCGATGAAGTGACGGAACACTCTGTGGTTGAGTCGCCGTCTGACGACTCGGACGCCGTCGACACGAGTCCATCCAATTCGGTGACCGAAAATCCACTGACCGTTACTTTGGTTCAGATAAAGATCCAAAATCTAAGTCTCGCTCAACAGTCAAAAGGATTTCATTCAAAGATATTGATGCGAACATCGGATGTCTTATTGTCTGAATTCATTAAAATACCGTTCAATGAATACCAGACACTCGTTAATCAAAGGGTTGTGAATAACACTAACAATACACTGAATTCAGCGAATAGTATGAGTTCTGAAGTGAAGCTTCGGTTGGAATCGTTTGCAAAACTCAATCTGAAAGACGAGTTAATCTCTGTTTTAGTCAACAATTTGGAGCTAACGCTACACATGGACTCAGTTATGCTTTTAAACGATTTCATTACCGATCCGGACATGGCTTACGTCCCGCCGACTAATATTCTGTTGAATAACGTATGCATTACTCTAATGGACGATAAGGTGAGTGCACCGCCGCTGGCTCTCAAAGTGCCCCACCTTTCGGTCCAAAGGGATCGATACAATCAAATGACTGTCACTCCGCTCAACACAAGTGAGTTATATCTTCGCTGTCTTACCATTTATTAGACTAATGCTTATGATATTCTTATGACAGATGTCAGCGCACATACGGAACAGCTATTGACTCCACATTTGAAATTACGGCTACGAAATGGACAGAGAAGTGACTCGTCTATCGATTTGGCCACTAATGAGAAGAGGGAACCAAACGATGACAACGATGTGTTGGATCAGGTGTTGAAGAAGAACGAGATTCTTACGGAACAAATGCAGAGATTAGTGATCCTCTTATATCTCGACTTCTTCGTTTAGTTACTAGCATAAGTAGTTTCAATCTGTAATTCATGAGAGAAAGTGTGGTGTCTATAGGAATTCTGCATTTGTGTAAGAAGAGTTGTGAAAATTTTGAAAAATTTATTTTTAAGAAATTTTATTTAAAGCTATAGTTATATAAATAATGAGACAATTTATAAAGTGATACAAATATAGAGTTAATTATATAAATAAATTCCCAAATAGTGTACAGTTTTTGGTATCAATTGTACGCTAAATGAGTGGCTAATTATGGAAACACGTGTCCATTAATCAATGTATGGCTAAAAGTGTTGTTGTTTTTGCATTCAAAGTGATTTATTGGCACACAATTAGTGTCACAGCCTATCAATCATGACTGGAAGTGATGTCTTGAGCCATACCTATATCTACCACTCAATCGTTAAGACTTTATACAACTGCTTAAATGCAATACAATTTTACTCAATATATCAATAGTTTATAATTATTACAAACAGTATATAAGGTCTTAAATGTGTGTCTATTTTGCGGCTAAACTGTCCCCTCAATGGAGCCCTTCATTGCATTCAATGATTGTTTTTATTAAATTTAATTATTAATTACTATTCAATTGTTAACTAATGTTACGAAAAAAGTTATAAATGTTTCATAAATTTTGATAATATATTGAATCCGATATTAAAGTGATTGAAAGAAATGTATGTTTTTTTCAATTAGAAATCATTACAACAATTATATATAAATGTTATTAAAACACGTTTTCAATGCATTCAATGCCTATTCCTATAACCACTCATTACTCCCGATATCGGGACAACACTCGCCGTCCGATACGTGTATTGACTGTACGTTTCGATGACTCGCAGCCAGCGATGGACTGACCACTCATTGGCCGACAGTTTGGCGCTAAAAAAACGCGCCAATCATTAGCTCTAATATTACATCACTTTTTATTCGCTTCGCGTTTCGATTACGCGAAACAACGTTTGCATTACGACTACTGTATTGTGTGATTACCGCCAAACCTATCGTACAATTATTCGTACGTTTTTATACCGCTTTCGCATTCAATTTGCATTCAATTCAACGAACAGTAAATCATATCGAATGGAATTTTCCACCCAATCGTTTCGCCCCCACTATTGCCCCCACTATTGCCCCCACTATTGCCCCCACTATTGCCCCTCAGCTATACCTTTACAATACATCACACATTCACTCATAGTTTGCGAGCCATACAAACGATACACGAAAATAGGTTTTTATGTCTATTCACGCTTTCACTCAATACATGTATAACATTGGCTAATCATAGCGAGCGTTGACTGTATGTCTGGAACGCGCGTATTGTACAGACGTATTGTACGGCGCAGTCGAGTAAGAGTTGAATTGTCTGTAAAAAACGAGTTGAATGTAAAGGCAGTGAACAGACTATAAGCCACTGACAGCACAGCCGACACAGTATTTGCGCTCATATAAAGGGCGGCGCTTTGTCTACGCGACACAAATTACGTCGCATTTTAGTGCGGATTCGTTGCGTTGCGAAAGGCGTTGGATTCGAACCAATTGTCGCGCGTATTGTATGACCGGTTGTGGCGTTGAATAGGCCTTCACTACACTTCACTACACGTACACCATTTGCGGCGTCGACTCTGATTGGCTGAGCGTTAGTCACGTGAGGCTATTGTCTGAAAGTTGGGAGACATTGAGTGGTATTCTATGTTTTAGAGGCATTAGTATTGCATTCGAAGCACTCATTCATTCAAAGCCAACACTTAATCGCCTTTTTTGCCGGTTTTTCACTCAAAGCCTCGCTTTTGATTCACTTACCATTCAATTGATATTATCATCTAATCAGTGACACAATGCCCGCCACCAGATCCAGAACCAGGTAAGTGTCACCACCAACTGATCCCAGCATTGGGTGCGAGCGTTGAGTGTCAACGTTGTGCTCAATCGCGGCGTTGAATGGCTTTCAATGCATTCACTCATTGTTTGGTGTGTTTTAGTACCGAAGGCGCGGACGCGAGCGCNACTTTAATATCGGATTCAATATATTATCAAAATTTATGAAACATTTATAACTTTTTTCGTAACATTAGTTAACAATTGAATAGTAATTAATAATTAAATTTAATAAAAACAATCATTGAATGCAATGAAGGGCTCCATTGAGGGGACAGTTTAGCCGCAAAATAGACACACATTTAAGACCTTATATACTGTTTGTAATAATTATAAACTATTGATATATTGAGTAAAATTGTATTGCATTTAAGCAGTTGTATAAAGTCTTAACGATTGAGTGGTAGATATAGGTATGGCTCAAGACATCACTTCCAGTCATGATTGATAGGATGTGACACTAATTGTGTGCCAATAAATCACTTTGAATGCAAAAACAACAACACTTTTAGCCATACATTGATTAATGGACACGTGTTTCCATAATTAGCCACTCATTTAGCGTACAATTGATACCAAAAACTGTACACTATTTGGGAATTTATATTATCTATATTTGTATCACTTTATAAATTGTCTCATTATTTATATTACTATAGCTTTAAATAAAATTTCTTAAAAATAAATAAAAGTTTTAAAAGTGTTGAGAAGAATGTGTTTACATCTTAAGGATATCTGTGGTGTGAAAGAGAGTACTTAATGTCTAACTTTGATGAATACGATCATTGATTTGCTTCTTCAGCTCTATATTCTCTATCACTAATCTCTGCATTTGTTCCGTAAGAATCTCGTTCTTCTTCAACACCTGATCCAACACATCGTTGTCATCGTTTGGTTCCCTCTTCTCATTAGTGGCCAAATCAATAGACGAGTCACTTCTCTGTCCATTTCGTAGCCGTAATTTCAAATGTGGAATCAATAGCTGTTCCGTATGTGCGCTGACATCTGTCATAAGATTATCATAAGTATTAGTCTAATAAATGGTAAGACAGCGAAGATATAACTCACTTGTGTTGAGCGGAGTGACAGTCATTTGATTGTATCGATCCCTTTGGACCGAAAGGTGGGGCACTTTGAGCGCCAGCGGCGGTGCACTCACCTTATCGTCCATTAGAGTAATGCATACGTTATTCAACAGTATATTAGTCGGCGGGACGTAAGCCATGTCCGGATCGGTGATGAAATCGTTTAAAAGCATAACTGAGTCCATGTGTAGCGTTAGCTCCAAATTGTTGACTAAAACAGAGATTAACTCGTCTTTCAAATTGAGTTTCGCAAACGATTCCAACCGAAGCTTCACTTCAGAACTCATACTATTCGCTGAATTCAGTGTATTATTAGTGTTATTCACAACCCTTTGATTAACGAGTGTCTGGTATTCATTGAACGGTATTTTAATGAATTCAGACAATAAGACATCCGATGTTCGCATCAATATCTTTGAATGAAATCCTTTTGACTGTTGAGCGAGACTTAGATTTTGGATCTTTATCTGAACCAAAGTAACGGTCAGTGGATTTTCGGTCATCGAATTGGATGGACTCGTGTCGACGGCGTCCGAGTCGTCAGACGGCGACTCAACCACCGAGTGTTCCGTCACTTCATCGGCCGCTTCGATACGGTTTGTACTAAAGATGTCCTCTTCTTCTTCTCGAGTCATGGTCTCAAAGCCGACGACAACGAACTGATCGCTCTCTGCGGACAAATCACTTCTTATGGATCGGTTGTCATCATCGATAGGCGAACAGTCCGTAAGACCCGATTCAGTGAATGTAGAGTTACTTAAACTCAAGGCATCGCTATTTACGGGAGACTTCTTGAACGTAACGAGTGATGCGTTTTGTAGCTTAAGGTGAGCGGGAATGGCGTTCAGCGATGTGGCCATCGGTGGGCTGTCCTTCAAGTCCTTGTGTAACCTATTGTTGTCCACACTTT